TAAATTGGAACTTTAAGCATAGTTTTGGCTTCGACTCTGATTTAATTTTACATGGTATTTGGAAAGCTCAAATGCCTTTTTGTAATCAATCCAGACCATATTCAAGTTCGTTTTTCTGTTCTTACAATTTTCTAATATCATTTTATCAATTAGGAGCTGATAATAATAATAATAATAATCACTATATTGATATTATTATTGATATTATTGTTATTTTTGTTGTCTGGTTGCTGTTTATTCGTTTCTCCTTTTTTCCTTCGGTCTCTATTTTGACTTTGGAAGGAAAATTAAAAACTTCCAAGGGGGGGGAAAAACCACATTTACCTTCTCGCAATACTTGACCTCGTAATCCAAGATGCTCCCGGTTGGCGGCTGGATGAAGGGCCAGGCCAAGGTGATGGTGCTGGGGCTGACGGAGGTTTGCTGGATCTCGGACACGGGGTGAGGGACTGGCGGGAGAAAAAGAGCAGTGAGCTGGAGCTTCCGACAGCCTTATCTGGGCTGCAAAAATCAACACGACCAGTAGATGAGGGTAGAGAGAAGAGAGAGGCAGATACTTCGGGCTCCTGGCTGCCATCTGAAGTTCACGCCCTGGAACTGCAGCCCCGATATCTTAGCTTCACCTAACAGATCCTCCGTTCCATACTAACCCTACAGTTAGTCCTCAAGTTATGACTGCTCGCTTAGTAACCGTTTGAAGTTACAGCATATCTGCAAAGGGGACCTGTGACCCGGGGCTTGGGGATCCGGGGTGGGAGGCATGGAGTGGGGCCACCTCTGCTCAGGCTCCGCTTTGGCCGAGCGATGCCGTTCCGGGAGCGGACCTACCATCCTTGTTGGTGGTGATGTTGATGGACTCCGACTGGGGTGGGTTTTGGCTGAGGTCGGAGACCCCGTTGACGGCTTGGATCTGGAAGGAGTAGGTGATGTAGGGCTGGAGACCCTCCACGGTGACCGTGCGCTCCACCAGCCCCCGAGACCGGGGGGCATAGGCTAGGCGGGCACACTCCTGACAGCTCTGCCGTTCGGGGCAGGCCTGGCAGCGGAGGTGGTACGAGACGTCATCCCGGCCCCCGTTCTCCAAGGGCTCGCTCCACTCCAGCACGGCCACCGAGCCGTTGATCCTGGCCACGATGCTGCGTGGGGCAGACGGCGTGGCTGGGAAGGAGGGGGGGAGAGAGCAGGGTCAGTCTTGGGAAAGCCCCACCCCCAAATAATTTTTCCACTCATTCTTCCCTCTCTTAACCCCCAAGAGACCCTTCCCCAGCCCTCTCTTCCCCCCTCAAAAAAACCCTCCACCCTCCTTCTACTCCCCCCAAATCCCTCATCCCAGCCTTTTCCCCATCCCCCAAACCCCCACTTTTGCTCTCCTATCCCCCCCAAAACGCCTCCATCCAGCCTTAAATCTCCAAATAACTTTCCCACCCATTCTTCACTCTCTTAACCCCCAAGAGACCCTTCCCCAGCCCTCTTTCCCCCCTCAAAAAACCCTCCACTCACCTTCGTTCTATTCCCCCCAAATCCCTCTTTCCAGCCTTCTCTGTCACCCCCAAGACCCCCATTTTTGCTCTTCTAGGCCCCCCAAACCCCTCCACCCAGCCCTCACCCTCCCACACCCCCATTATACCGCTCCACCCACCCACCCACCCACCCTCTAGCTCTGCTGCCCTTCGGCCACTCACTGGAGCACTGCTTGGTGACTGGCTCCTTCGTGGTACGGTAGAAGCCGATGCGGCAGGAACACTCGCTGGAGCCCGGGGAGGGGGACATGCTGAAGGCCGGGCAGAGCTGGCAGCCCCCCTCCCCTTGGACGGCCTTGAACATCCCCGCCGGACAGGCTGCGGAAGGAGGGCGGGAGAGAGGATAAGTTTACTTAGAACAGTGTTTCTCAACATTCGCTGGCTGGGGAATTCTGGGAATTGAAGTCCGGACATCTTCAAGTGGCCAAGGTTGAGAAACCCTGACTTAGGATGACCTCTACTTACCGGCTGATCCTCCATTTATGAATAGTTCATTTAAGGACCCCCTCCAACCTACGACGGAACCGGGAGGAAATTGACTGACTACAGTGTTTCACACTTACGACCGCCATAGGATTCCCCACAGTCGCGTGATCAAAATTCAGAAATCTGTCAATGGACCCGTATTTACGATGGTTGCAGTGTCCCCGGGGGAGG